TGGCTGTGCTGTATAAAAATGAAACTTAAAACTTCTTACATAAATCTGATTAATGTAAGATGTAGGTCATGAAAATCTGGTTTGAATCTTACAGTTCACAGACGAAAACAGTGGAATTTAAGGTTCGTTAGCCTAGCTGTTACAATGGATAGTCCATTACATTTTATTACTTTGTTTTTTCTCACTTGGACTTTAGATTTATCTGGGGAATATAGTGACAAATACTACCTCTTTCCTTGCTTGAACAGAAAAAAATTCTAATTTCGATCTTTAATTTTTTAACCAACTTTTCACGAGTGTCTAGAGACTTTTTTGTAGGTGTGTGTGTATGTCTTGTTTCTGTAATTTTGATCATCAAACCAACCAAGAAAAATAGAAAACACCCTCTTGGAAAGACTGACAGGACAGAGGCCATATGAGTAGTCAGCTTGAATGCTGGTGACAAATCAAGCACTTGAATTGGGAATAACTCTTTCACAGCCAAGGTAACAATAAAACAAGGACGATGGATCTCAAAAAACTGCCACTGACGCGCGTACTAGATGGCATTGCCTTACACACTGTGGAGCATTGATCGCTCACTGTAGGATGCAAGTTGTCCAATGGATAGCACCTTGGGATATTCTCTAACAGTAGATGGACCAGTAGAGACCAATATCTCAGAAGAAAGGCTATAGAATCAACAGTAGATGAAAGTAGATCTGTAACAGACCCAGTGAAGGTGAGACAGCGAGTCTAATATTTGTAACTAGTAGTGTGAAGATACATTATAAATGTTACAAAAGATTCGGGAAAGTGACTAAAGATAATTCCAAAGCCATTGTAATGAAGCTGAGCATATCTTCTGGTATTGCCAGTAAGATAATAAACAAGGTTTATAAACTGACAAAGACTCACAAGCCAAACGTTCACCAGCTTCAAGCCATGCATCGTAATCAATGGTACTTGCCATAAAAACGTTACCGAAAGAATGTGAAATCAGAGCAATCCTATTCGACCACATACTTGCCCAATGAAGCTCTAATGGACCTTTGAATCTTTAGTCTGTTTAAATATGATTTTGAAAGCAAGTGTCTGAGCACGGTGCAAGATATGTGGAAAGTTTGAAAAGTAGTTTTTTCTAAAGTTCAACTTCCTGTCCTTTGCACGTTTGGAAAAACTTGTTTCAATGGAAATTATGGTGTTGAGCAGTAATGTGAATCATAGCCTTCAGACTGAGCAAAAAAGATAATGGGGGAAGTAGTTTTAAAGGCATCACCATGGAACCTAAAATTTCATTCTTATAAAGCGCGATTAACACTCAGTAATAGTTGTTAGGTTAGCAAGTTACTTTATACGTGTTTAGTTATATATAAGATGATAGGTTAGTCAGAATGTATAGTGTAACTATAACGTTATATGTGATACGTGGTTAATACGTATCATTATAGTTAGAATACAGGTAAGGTCGGCAAGATTTCCTGAGTGTATTAATGTGTGTTTTGTTTACAATGGAATTCTTATGGAGTCAGAAGAACTAGGATTTCTATTTTTATTATGTTATTAAAATGTCATGTTGTATTGTGATATCTTAGATGGTAAATACTTTAGTAGTTGCCGAGATGTGTTTTTTTGTGTCGTTGTCTTGCTCTACACGTGCTGTGCATCCGTTAGGCTGTTCAACTGTTGTGCATCTAATAGTTGTAGTGTAGTGGAAAGATCACAGGCTCCCTGATTAACCTTCTTATTACCACTTTTATAGATAGTTCGTCCAGATTCTTGGTTTAATATTTCACTATTCCCCTGAAACTCGAAACTGGTAAGCTTTAGGAAATTGTAAGAGGAATATTCTTTCTTTGTTGTGGTACAAATTCCAAACTCACATGGCAGTATTCTAATGAGGACGTGTATGTGCCCATGGCAGTGAAAATGGTTAACGGTTAGTTGGTTTTAATTTTAACATTAATTAGGTCCCAGCATGGACTTAAGGCATGGAGGACGGGGAAATGTGACGACTTTATTGTCTCATACTTCATAATCTTATAGAATACAGCAATATAGTAAATTATTACAGTTGAAGACAGAGTCGTTTCCTTGTAGTTTGAGAAGATAAAATCTCTGAGCTCAAAATCTAGTGCTGAACAATGGGAATGGTGGTTATTTGAGCGACAAGCGCATCTGTTTTGTGCATTCACTTTTCGATTGCCTGAGGTGCTTGTTTTGCCGTTTTTCATGGAATCGGCCCTTGTGTAATTACGGCATACTGGTGTATAGTACAAGATACTTAAAGAGCCAAGATGTCCAGATCACGATTGATTACGCTTTAGAGGCCAACTGCTCTAATGTCTTGTTGCTTTGGGGAGGAGACTGAATATGGCAGTCGAGTTGTTAGGTTTTGTTTCTATGTAAGTAATAAATACCATATGTAAGCCATCACCTGAACAATATTTTATGTTGTTTGTTTGCTATTAAATACAAAACTACACAATGGGCTTTATGTGCTCTAAGTTAAGAGATTTCCCGTGGAGCCACCGGGGGGGGGGCTTTTATCTTGTACTTAACTAGTTGCATTTTCAATTTTTTCACTAATTTGCCAATTTTGTAATCTTCTAAAGCATTTTATTTCGCAAACAATAGTATCAATTTATGTCTCTTTCCATCGTTGTTCCCCGTATTTTCAATTTGCTGTACATGGTCTTTCTTCATCACTTGTATTTCTTCAACTGTGTACCTTGTCAATAAAGGATGATCATTTCATGGGAACAGAGTCAAACCTCATTTATCGCTCTTAAATTAAAACTTAATGCTTTCTATAGGAGCCCTCATTCACTTAGTTTGCAGCCAATTATCTGTGTGCTAATAATTTGATTCACCGGTAGGAATACCACCAAAACATCCACCTGTCTTGATCCACAGATACATCCATCAGTCTTGTTCCACAGACACATCCACCAGTCTTGATCCACAGATACATCAACCAGTCTTGATCCACAGATACATCCACCAGTCTTGATCCACAGACACATCCACCAGTCTTGATCCACGGATACATCAACCAGTCTTGATCCACAGACACATCCACCAGTCTTGATCCACAGATACATCAACCAGTCTTGATCCACAGACACATTCACCAGTCTTGATCCACAGATACATCAACCAGTCTTGATCCACAGATACATCCACCAGTCTTGATCCACAGATACATCCACCCGTCTTGATCCACAGATACATCCACCAGTCTTGATTAAGACATAAAGCTATCATTTTTATCAAAACTTACTTGTTGTCGAAGTTTGTGATTCTTCAGTACAATCTATATTACTTTATACATGTTTGTGTACATAGCTGTGAAACCAATATTCAAGAAAGTGTTTGAATAGCAGACTCTTGTTTTGTGTGGTTCTATTCCTTCAGTATCTCTAAGGTAGTTCTCTAAGTTCAAGGAGCCTGATATATCATATTCATAATTCATAGTTTTAAGATTGTGCCAAGGAATTAAAAATTTAAAAGAGAACGGAATGGAAATGGAAATTTTAACCTGAACGGCATCTTATGCGCACATGGATTAAACGGCTAGGTCAGAGTCCCCTAGGATTCAGGTATAGCCGTTCCTAATTTTTAACTATTGATCAGAAGGAATCTAGCTATCCAGCAGCATCCGAATGCCACAAAGGCTTTGTTCGACTTTTTGAAACGAGTAACGAGACTGGCTGTCATTTTTATAACGTGCCCACAGCTAAAAGTATGGAGACTGTTCGGCAACATAAAGTTTTGAACCCCGGATCCTTCTATGCGAAACTTGACACATTAACCATTGAGTCACGCCTAGCCCATTTCTCAATATAGTTAGCTCTCTAATTGCGTTAGAGTGTTATTATATCAGGTGATGTTACAATAGACTGTATGAATAGTGCAGTCGGATATAGTTCAAACAGGACAATTGTAGAATATTATATATCAAACTAGCTTATATAAGGTTTCATAGTTTTTATATGAAACATGTTTACAGTGAGTGTAATGTAGGAAACACACACAAATAGATTGTTATATCAGACAATGACGGATCTACGATTTTATCCAGGGGTTTTCGACAGGGTTGTTTTTAGCATATTCGGGTATGGCGCGGATGGGTGCAGGTACGGGAGGGGATGTTCCCCTCCAGTTCCACTAGGGAAACTGAAATCCGTAGAAAACGATAGGAAACAGAAGTGATTAAGTTAAACTTTAAAATGTTCATTATTTATGAACGACAGAAAGTCACATTAGTCATGAAAAGTACACCCCCCCCTTTCCTCTAGTCTCCGTCGATCAGTAGTATCACCTCATCATCATAATCACAAAATCAGATATATTAGTTTTTTAAGCTCAACCAATTACATTACACTTTACTGTCATTCATAATACCGGAAAAACACGTCGGAAGTGATTGGCCTAAAATTTACGTGAGTATTTTAAAGCGCACAATAAAATTTTTACTGTCTTAATAAGATATGTATTTATATATATAATCCCCGCCGTGTTTTTCATTAGCTTTAGGCCTTATTTAAAAAAAAGTCATCAACGGAATCAATTCTCGGGAGGTGGGGTGGGTCAAAGATCCCTTGAACCCCATCAACGTTTACCAATTTCGGCGCTTTATTCAGAAAATAATGTATTAGGAACATATTTAGAGCGACTTGTATATGTTTTTGCTGTTTTAAAAAAATATATATAAAAACGCGCTTAGAAAGAATAGAGTATCCTGTTTTAAAAGTTTTAATAGAATGGATGCCATGCTTCTAGTTACCATTTTGTTTCTTTTTTTCTTTTGCCCAATTGAATAATAAAGTTTTATATTTACGGAATATATATATAGTTACAGAATCGAAATTGACCACAGTTGATGCTTTTGAAAACATGTGCAGCATTTAAACACAACATGACATGGAACGCGCTCGAAGTAAGTCTGCATAAAAAACATTTCTCGCTCAATGCATAAGTACCTGTATAACTTGCTAACAAAATCAGTGATACTATACCTGTATAACTTGCTAACAAAATCAGTGATGCTGTCGGAGAATATTTATGTTCAAAGCCCTGTTTTCAACTCGCTGAGAAGTCGTTCTATCTATGGTACATCTTTTGTACTGGCTGGCAATGTGCTATTGATCGTACTAGACAAGACTAGAAAATTATCACTACGATCTCGTATGGAAGCCACGTGCTCAAAATTCATTGTATTTTTTTCCCATTAGTTGTGTAATAAACTCTTCGTGGCCTGCGATCACTAACCGTGACGAATCCTATGTGAACAAGGGTGTTGAGAGCTTAGACTGACACGTGCAATGAATAATGGGTTACTACACGCAATTTGGTACTTTGAATGGGATTTTTACCGTTTTGAACATCAATTGTAAATCATGTGGAAATTCCTAGTCAAGGAATCAATCAAATCGATAGAACTAATAAACGTTTTAAACTTTTATTATGTTAAGCTTAAAATATCGATTACTTATGATAGTGTATATTTTGAATTTTTTAGGATCAATTTAATGATTGATTTTTTAATAATGTCCCAGCTTGTATGTAAGTCAACTTATAGAACATAATAAAATCAAGCGAAACAATATATTGAAGATATACGTGTTGAAATATACCAGTCTGAGCTGACAGATGTTCTTCGTTCACCGTGTAACCGAAAAATACAAAACACCCGAGATCTTATTTATTTACACAGCTATTTTGGTAAAAGCAAGTAAGGGCTGGTGCGAAGTAATGAACGTCCAGGTCTATTAGTGTAAATCATATCCATGTAAGTATTTATGTATTATGTTCTGTTTATCGAACGTCCAGGTCTATTAGTGTAAATCATATCCATGTAAGTATTTATGTATTATGTTCTGTTTATCGAACGTCCAGGTCTATTAGTGTAAATCATATCCATGTAAGTATTTATGTATTATGTTCTGTTTATCGAACGTCCAGGTCTATTAGTGTAAATCATATCCATGTAAGTATTTATGTATTATGTTCTGTTTATCGCATACTGTAAGATATTTTAATCCAAAACTTAAGACGTTTTCTAAATATCGTACAGTTCGGAGTTGTTTTCTTAATTTTCATATATCATCATCATCATACACACAAACAAACAAAACTACCGTAGAGGGGGATCTACAGCTTCTGTACGAGGAAAAGGTAAGTCGTTTTAGTAAGATTAACCTTTCTAGTCCTGTACGGAAAAAAAGCTATTTTATTTAGCTCATTTATGTCAAAGTAAGTTATATCTGCTCATATTCCAAACACACTCAGCTTACTTAGAGATTTTAAAATGCTATGCAATTGTATATACGCTTAACCTGATATTTCTTTCAGTTATTTGGTACCAGTACGATATGAAAAATAGACATGAAGTACATAAAGTATCGTTTCTCATTAAAAAACAACAACTTGTATTAAATCTCAGTTAATGTCAAGATACAAAGTTAGAGAGATATTCTTTTGTAAGAGAAAAATTCTCTAGATGGGAAGATAAAAACGAGTTTCTCATAAAACGTATACTAGTCAAATTTATGGTCAAATTTATAGATTTGCTTGTTTGTTTTTCCACCAAAGCCACATTGAGCTATAGTGCTCGTAGTACATTATAAACATGCTGTGATCTTTCACACTTTGTATTATAAACATACTGTGATCTCTTACACTTTATATGTTGTCTTCTGTTATGCCGAGAAAGTAGATGTAACGATTGTGATTGATGTTGCTTGTACATTTTGCCACGTGGGTTATCAACATTCGATAGGCAACTTTAATTAATCGCTGTCAAAATATAAAAGAACTCTTTCAAACAGCTGACTTCTTTGGCATCTTCATTTCCTAATCTGATGATAACGAGAGAGAAGAATCCAGAAAATAAACTACAAGTTAAGTGCATACACTGTTCACACCAGACTAGGCAATTGGTGTGTGTGTGTTTTATAGCAAAGCCACATCGGGCGTTTTCGTCTGTGTCCACCGAGGGGAATCTAACCTTTGATTTTAGCGATATAAATCTGGCAATTGGTTCTCAGCCTTTAGAACATTGCAAGCCTTTTCGATACAAACGCAGTTCATATGGACCTTGACTAACCCATTGCGGTCTCAAGTATACATTTGGTGACAATACTATAGACTAAATTAAAAATTTCAAATAATGTATAAAAACTGTTATTTCATCAAAGATTATTCCAAACCGTTTTTTCGGAACTGTTCAAGACCCCACGAGATAGGCTATGTGATTAACAAAAAAAAAAAAGTTATGAAACTTTAGAAACAGGTATTATGTATGCGTTCCCAAATCTTCCCAATTACGTTTGACTTGCTAATATTGCATAATAAAAGTTTAATAGAATCTTTTTGTTCTCTTTATTTTAATGCATTTGTTACTGTATTCATTCTGTCTAAAAATATTATTTTCCACCAAAATCTTGCACCCTCGGTACGCAGCCTGGCACGCTAACTTCTGGTCCCACCCGGGTACTAGCTTTACCAGACATCCACTGTTTTTCCTGAATATTACCTTGATGACTTGACTGAATGCATTTATTATCTGAACTATTTGCAAGTATTGTCGGTCTTAAGCTTTCATAACTAATGTATGCACTACATTTAACAATGAATGAAGCATATTACTCAATGAGTTCTGAATACAAAGTTTACACTTTGTGAGCATGATTCAGTCCGTATGTTAATTTCATTGAATTTAAAAATATTATATCTCGTAAGTGCAATACTGTGATGGTGGAGGCCCCCTTATGAATGTGATTCAAAACTGAGGTCCCTTGATCCTCGAGGCCCCCATGCAATTGCATGGGTTGCACCCCTATAAATCCGGCAATACATAGTTGTCCTAAACTTCAAAAGTTTTGTATTATTTTACTTGCAGGAAATATGAATGATTGAAATGCATTTAAAAAGAATTTCACCGAATAAAGTTGAAATCAAGGTATCAATGCTACTAAATCTCTTCCCTTACATTACACCACGATACTCCATGTGAAAGTATTAATGCATTACGCTATGATATTCTACGTGAAAGTGGCAATGCCACGAAATCGTTTTTCTATGTATCTGTTATGTATATATTCAAATAGATCATGCCATGTACTTCATTGTAGCTATCAAATGGATTTATTAGAATATGCTATGAATTATACTTTTCCCAAGTTCTGTGTACGTTATACAAGTTGTTAAAATAATATTCATTTGAACATTGAATTTGTAGTCGATTACCACAAGACAGAAATATGCAATTTTAGTACGAAAGAAATTAGACAATATTGGTAGGTCAGGCCTACTTTCTATTTACTAACACATGATTAAATTTTTGTGATAAATTATAATACACCAACAACACTGTGTTTTGAAACAATTTTACTCGAAGAAGAATACAGCAGAAAAAAAAAATTCATTTAATATTTCTAGAGGTAACGCATAACAATATGTTAAATTGTAAATAAAGAAAGGATCCAAACGGTTAACAACTTCTTCATAAGTATTAGACAAAGAACCACTGCCTACAACTCTGTTTAGTTTGTTTGTTATGGATTTCGCGCGAAGCTACACAAGGGCTATCTGCGCTAGCCGTCCTAAATTTAGCACTGAAAGACTAGAGGGAAGGCAGCTAGTCATCACCACCCACCGCCAACTCTTGGGCTACTCTTTTACCAACGAATAGTGTGATTAACCGGACCATTATAATGCACCCACGGCTGAAAGGGCGAGCATGTTTGGTGGGACGGGGATTCGAACCCTCGAACCGCAGATTACGAGTCAAGCGCCCTAACCACCTAGCCATGCCAGGCCTGATTCTGTATAGAAATTCTTTTTTGCAAGCTCACGTTGAACAGAATGTTCACACCTCAAAGTGCTTCCTCAACGCTATTACTTTACATCACATAATGTTTGAGTAATATCATAATATTTCTATCTAAATAACACACAAGCTAATTATTCTATTATATTATTATTTTATAATATCACCATGAAAGGTAATAAACCTATATTTTTCTGTCAATAAGTCTTTCTCTAAGATATTGATAGCGTTCTAATAATATTTCCATGAGCATTTATTGACAGTTTAGAGAGTTATGAGTGCTAAAAGCAGCAGTGCTTAAACTTTTTTAAGGGTAACAAATTTATCGCAAATTATGTTCAACGAAAAAGTGTACGTATTTCCTTGAGTTACACTAACAGTATATTGTGGTAAGTGCAACATTTGACTTTGTGAATTTATCTGTAATTTATGGCATCTTGTTTTATTATCAAAACTAATTCGTAACACATCCCCTCGACGTGGATTCCTGTACGTGGTGAGGGGACCTCCCAGAGAAGGTTCTGTATTTTCAGTTACTTCCTCTGGGATCTAAACATCCACCCATGTGTTTGCCGTGCGTGGCGACCCGTGAAGGGGAGGAGAGGATCCTGGTGGTTGAGTGGTGTCTGGGGCACTGCAACACACCACTTTGGTTTTGAATTCCTGTAGACGGGTGACCTTGGGGTGGCCCCTAGGGTCAATCGGCTGGTCCACTGGGGCTAGGGTCAACTGAGTACCAGTGTTGGGCGTTCTCATCGTGTCTGATACTGGTGTTTGGGTATAGTGCTCACGAAACCCTGGCGTTGCTGCAGTGTCCTAGTTTGACATTGTAGTGCGTCCCCTCGTAGGACTCCATGGCGGGTGGGGTCAGTGGGCACTGAACCTCTCTCTTTAATTATGGATCCCCCCATTCCAAATATAAAAAAAATGTTAAAAAGCTGCAAATAGGTAAACGACCATGCCTAGAAGACTCTGAACAGCGGTCTCCATCACACAGTACACTTGTACCTCGCTCTTTGATCATGCATTCACTGTCTGATAAATCTTTAGGGCAAATGTCTCCCTTTTTTATTCAGAAGGGCTTAGAGGGGCTTGCTGGCTCTCCAAAGTCAGTTAAGAAGCTCCGTTCTGGACACATCTCAGAAGAAACTTCCATCCAAAGCACAGTGAACTTCTCTTGAATTCGAAGGCCATTGGGGATATACCCGTTGAGGTTACTCCCCACGCTTCCTTGAACTCCTCATGAGGAGTTATCATTGAGAGGGACTTGAAATCTATCCCCGAGTCGGAGA